TTCTTTCCTCTTTAAGGAAAGAGCTCCTTACAAGGAGCACCAAAAATGATTACTCGGAGTGCTAGAGAAATATTTCTCATCTGCTACTTGCATCCTACATGCTTCCCCCAGAGCCTCTTGAGTAACATCAGCAGTCCTCTTTGCACTTCATACCTCAGCGCAGCGCTGGCTGCTCCCGCACGCGATTCAAACCCTCTTTGCTCACACAGAAGGCCTTGCAGCACCCAACACCAGGACAGAGCTCCTGGCAGATAATGTAAAAGTATGTGCTCCTCTGATGCTCAGATACAGCTTTTATGAGCCAGGTTTTTGCAGTCCTAATACAGAAGGTCTAGTGTAGTCAGACCCAGGACAGCACATAGCCTACCTTTCCTAAGCAATCCCATTTTCTTACGGTTTCACCGGGAGACAGCAAATTGCTATAACAAATACTGCACAGTAAAGCAAATCTGGTTTACCTCTTATTAATAACAATAATTATTACTGATTATTCAAAATGCAGGCATAGCCTTGAGTCACACTAACAGGTCCGCTTAGGCCAGTGCCCCAATCTCAAAACTAATCAACAGCAAAGGGGATAAAATGGCCTACAGCACGTATAGGAAAATCATTCTCCTAGTATATTCTTCCTATATCTGAGCAGGAATCCAGTGGAGTCAATCAGATGCTATGTCAGTCTTTAGGTAGGACTTGGGGCATTATAGAATTTGTACATTCAAACATCTGTACTTTGACTTTTCAGCTTCATGCCCCAGAAGGCTTTAAATTCCCTTAAGCTTTAACCTCTAATTTCAGGAGGCTGAGAGAAGAAGGGAAGCCCTGAGCCATCTACATTTCAAAAAAAGATCCTAACAGGTCACCTTTTTACAACCCTGGGTTTTGTTTTACTCTTAACACACTAAGAAACGGAAGACAGGCTTTTGGTAGCCACATCCGGCCTCTTGCTGTAACCACATTATTCCACTGGAGCTAGCACGGTTACACGGATAAGCCCAGAAGCAAGAAATGGCACTGTCACTCTAAAAATAGTGTCTGACAGAATTCAGCAGATTCTTACTTATATTTACAGCCAAAAGATTGTCATTTGTAAACCATATGCATGACCAGTAAAATCATTCATTGATAAACACATCTCTGTTCATACCAAGCAGAAACCCTGATTATTAGTAAATAAATACCAGTAATCAGTGCTTGAGTTTTATTTACAGTAGAATAATTAGATCAGCCTGTATACCCTAGGGGTCTTGGCATCCTCACATACAATGCTGAATATAATTGCTAGTGACAATCCTCTGAGCTGAACACTGCAAGAGAGGACAATATTATTATTTATATGGTGGCATCCAGAGTTTCAGATTGGATTGCTACTGGGTTAGTCAGTAAACAGCTACACACAGGTACCAATAGACAGAGAGAGCAAGAGAAGGGATGCATTCTCATTCTCACTGTACTGATGAGAAATGGAATTCTGATTCACAGCATGATAATCCAATACCAAACACAAATGATCTTTTCTTTTTAAAATCATCCACTATTTTCCTGGGTTGGAATTTATAATCTCTTAGAAATCTTAGGAAAATCCATTCCCGAGGGGCCTCATCTCACAAGATGTGATGTCTCCTGGGAGCAGAAAAGGCTTCACTCTTCTACTTCATTTCTCTATTACTTACCACCTTATTCTGAAGCCCAGGTTTTAGCCTCCACAAATATTGTTACATAAAATTATAAGAAAAAATAATCTAGATTTTGTATCTCTGCTTTTCTTAGTTATTTTCACTAGCAATCCCCTTTTCTCACTTTCTGCACCTCCCAGAAAGCCATTACCCACAGTGATTTAGATAAGTCAGTATTTTATAATGTATGCTAGTTGAATGAAATTCTGACATTATTGATCTATGCTCTAATTAGTTTTCTGCATTTTCAATCTAACTTGGGAAGACAAGAGATAATGAGTATATCCTGAATCAAAAACACTGAATGTTTAAAAGGTCAAATACTAGAGTAGAAAACATGTTGATTTTTATCCTTCAGAAGATGATTTAACATTTAACAAACTGACAGTCAGATGAATAGGGGAAACACAGAAAAAAACCAGGATGTGCATAAGCTATTTTCCTCCTGACTCAAACTCTTTAGTACACCCTTCCCTCCCTCCAGAGGGATAAGCTTATCTAAAATCCCAGATCAGAATACTTTCCAGCTTTCTGTAGATATTTAAAGCCTAAAACTGACTCATATGACCAGTACTTTTATAATTAGATGAACATCACTGAAGTATTCTGAGGCAATTTCACAAGAGATTCTTCTACAGCTTTCTGAAGATCTTAATTTGACATGAACTCTTACTTATTTTTGTGCAAAGTATTCTTAGTATTCTTATTTCAGAAACTTTTGAATAAAGGCTGATATTGGATCTTTCATGCTTTCTCCAACAAAACAGGAGAATTGAATGCAACCTATGAACTCTTAACATTTCACTAATTTCTGTGGAATTCAAATAAGCTCCAAAACAGCAGCGTGGCTATGCAAGTCACCCTTAAGTCTCTTTTCTAATCCCTCAAGTCATCTAGCTACCTCTGGATTAGTAGCTAGTGTTTAGAGGGCTACACATTTTAACTGCAAGTATGTGAGGCCCCAGTTGTTCAGCACGTCCATAGCTCACAAATGAAGTATGCACAAAGGGTTTTGCAGCTGGAAGGAAGGACATCCCCTTCCCAGGGCAGTGGAGAGGCAGGTGAGGTATCCACGCATCCATGCTGGCTCCTGTCCCACCGCACACGCTTCATCACGTGTGCACCCTTTGATCATGGGGACTTACAAGTCCTGTCCTGTCTTTTGGATTCCAAAGCCATTCCCCTCCTAAAAGTTGCTTTGTGGTAGACAGACAAGAGAGTTTTCTGTCTCCTCCCTGCCCAGACAAAACCACATCATGCCTGTTACCAGCTTTCACCATGGAGACCACATGGATATGGAAGCAGGCACCATGTTATCAGAAACAGTGTATGAACTCTAAAACCTTCTGAGAGGGTGTTTAATTAGAAAGGCATGATTTGAAAAGTGAAAATGAAACTCTTCATACATCTCATTTTTTGTATATGATGCAAATTGTTACATGTAAGTACAGACTAGATTCTTGCTTCCTGAATCTGGAAAAATTAATAAGTAGCAAGAAATAATTCTCACTTGGACAACGAATTTTGCCTTTAACAGGATTTAGCAGTCTTTGAAAAAACTGATCAACTGCTTCACTGAAGGGACAGATATGGCTAGAAAATATTCCCTTAGAATAGAATTAATCTCCTTTTAGTTATATATATTTTAAATACACTATCATGCAGAACTCCACTCGGCAAGTCCTCAAAAAAAAAAGTAAATTGTGTTAAAGCATTCTGTAGAAATGAAGCAAGTCTAATATTGGATTTGGCACGGGAGTCTTGTGTCTCTTTAGCTCCCAAATCTCTGTGATAGATTTCTTTGAGGTATCCTGTCAATTTATAAAACCAGTATGTTGAGCCTAATCTACACATATGATTATTACAGAATTTATTATAAATGGATATGCTTACAGGAGCTTTAGATCCAGTAAAAAGATTGAGATTTTTTATTTTTTTTTTTTTACATTTCTTTGCTTTAAAACCCAGCTTTAAACCTGCAAGATTGGAAACTTCTCATAATGATAAAAATCAACTTTTCTGTCCTTTTATGAAGTAGACTGTTCTGTGTATTTAACAATTTCAAAGAAAAAAAGTCATTGACATTTAAAAGTCTATATAGAAAGCATGAATAGAAGAAAAATCACTAATCTAATTAGCTTATTAATACTTACTAATTTCACTGGATGAAATATAAATAAGGAGTATAAATTAGTGGATTTCTAAAAGGGTCTGACCTAATGGCACTAGCCAGACCTCAGTCTGATGTGCAAGCTGTGCAGTGAATTACAGCAGTTACAGATAAGTATACTTTCAAGAAAGCATCTTTTTTGCTATTATGTAAACTGAGCTCAGCTTTATAGCAGGAGAGAAGAAACCATCTAAAAGATACCATCCTGCAAAAGCACATCTATTAGAACCAATAGCATCAGTAAGAAATTATCATTTTGTATGATGTATTTTTGCAGCCCAGAGGCACTACAGCATTTTAAAAAATCATTCAGACTTAAATCTTGCACAAGAAACATGTCTGGAACCGAACGTGAGGAGAAGTCACATTTCCAAAATGCTTTGATGCCACATAACCATATCTGAAGGTGGTACACAGTACACAAACTCAGTAAGAAATCAAGAGGAGAAAACATCTACTAATCTTCTGGCATCAAGGAAAACTTTTCTGTGGTGTTAGGAGAAGTCAGATACACAAGTCTCCATCTCCTGAGGGTGTCATTTTTCCAATTACAGCACAGGAAATTGGAAACCAAACACTAAGGTGAACACTGCAGAGTGGATAAACTGAAATGTGATTCCTGAACAAGCGTAAGGCAGCATCTGCTACACTCAGTGCACCACAAATAAGCTTTGGAGTAGAAGGAGAGGAAGAAAGAGTCACCATGAGATAATGATCTCTTTTACCTCAAAATCTCTTATTTTCTGTAACAATTAGCAGAGTGTGGTTTTTCCTGCCCCCTCGCAAAACTGTGTGGCTCAGGTGCATCCAAAACTCAGGGCTGAATCTCCATCTGGTATAAATCCTCTTCAGTTTAGTG